GCCTATCAAACATGGTAATCTCTCAGGGAAGACTTGGGAAAAACTGGTTGAGAGCCTAAGCGTTAGACAGCAGTGCTCTTCACTGAGATAGGAATACCAAAAGAGCTTTGAGTTGGGTGAGACAGTAAGGAGTGAATTTTGGACACGGTCTCTGGACAACCCAAATTGACCATATGCAAGAAGCCTTCGGGCCTGGAAAAAGCTGACTAGAAGTACAAATTGGAATTTATAAATTTGCAAATAAAACCGTGAGATAAAGATGAGTTCATTCAAGGAAAGTGAATAGCATGGAACAAGGAATCCAGGAACATAAGTAAAAAGGAGCAGAAAGAGGAAAAAAGAAAGAAAACCAAAGGAGCCCGGTATCTCTGACTCAGTGTGTACATGAAATTTTACTTTAAAGTTGGTCTGGAATAAATCAGACATTTTTTTGAGAGATTTGTTAGAAAAGCTACAAGCTGCAGGGGCTAATACAATCAATTAAGGAGTCGAAGACCTACCTCCACCATGACTTTTGGCAAATCACCTCAGGATACTCAACTTTGCCTTCACTGAGCGGTGAAAAATCTAACTGGTGATCAACTGGGGGCTTTATAAACTGTAAAATATTATACATTCACCCTTGATTTATTATTGTAACGCCATTACAACTGAGTGTGTAAATTCCATCTAATAGAGTATAAGCTTCTGAAGACAGGACCCTCAATCTTCTACACCTTTTTATCAGGTACAGTGGTATGTATTTCAGAGGTATTTTAAAAATGTTTCTGGAATATGTGGCAGAAACATGAGAATGTATGCATGGGGGAATACGTGTGTAGTAAGAGGCAAACCCAACTTCTTAAGATGATTTAGAATTGAAATAGTCAAGCTTTATTCTTCCCACAAATGCAACCAATGACAAATTGATGGGGTAAGGAGGATGCCTGGTAGCCCCAACTTCTTCCCTAAAGTGTAAATTCTTTTCTGAAATGCCCTTAGAATGGAGAAGGAATTTGCAGAAAAAGCAGTGAACTGTAGAAAAGGAAAACAGCCAAAAGCAACTTTATAAAACTGTGTGCAACAACTCCTAGCCATCAAAGAAGAGCTCCCTAACTTCTCAAGTTGAAACCTGCAAAATGTAAATCAGGCCTTTGTGAGACAAACTAAAATAGTGTCCCCTCAGGGTGCACAAATACCACAGTGAAGTCACCAGAGTGAGCTATTCCCTGACATAGTCAGAACCTACGATGCAAAGGTTTTCCTGGGGAAAAAACTGCTATTTGTTCCACGTTAAATACATACTCGTTAAAAGACCAAACACAATAAAAGGCAATATCCTTATATATCAATTATTTTGATTTACTCAAATAAAAAGAATATTCAGATATAGATTTAAAAGATTTATTTAATCACTATTCATTCCTAAAGTTTATGAGAAGCTTAGAAACTAATCTGGTCTCAGTGCTAATTTTAGGAGTTCCATAAACTTTGACTGAGTTGGTTTTATAAGCACTCTTTTCATTAATCTAATCGTTTTTAGAAAGAGGGAAAGCTACCTTTCTCCAAGATGAAGACCCTCTCTGCCAAGTTTTCATCCACAATGATTATCAAATTCATTAAAGGGGCTGTTTCATAAAAGGCAAATCCTCAGCTACAATCTCACTTTCAACTACCCCAAGGATACTGATAAAACTTATTATGACTTATTATTATAAGACATAAAAGCCAAACTTTTTAACAGCAATTAAATAATCCATATAGAAGTTAGGAGAGAAGATCCGGAAATCAAAGGCATAATAGGACTTCTTTTTAGAGAAGAGTGCCTGGCTGAGATTTCCCGCCACAACAGACAGAAAGTACAGTTCTGGTTCCCACAGCAACTTTAACTCTTTATATCTGAGGATGCATGACACCCAGCACCCGGGATTACTGTATATGGTGCTTAAGACTTGGCTGCTTTCAGAAACAATGCTAATTTTCCCAGCTTTTGTACAGCAAGTGATGATACTGGTACAATGATCTAATTTGTACTTGCCATCTGTTAAAATATGCCTCAGCTCCCTCAAAAAGTACCAGTTAAAATGATCATATAATTTTATATATACATGTGTATGCATGAAAAATTTCTGAAGAGTTATATAAGAAATTCAGAACGGTGGTCTCTAGGGCATGGAGCTTATTAGCAGCTAGAGATAAAGAGACTCGCTTGTCATTATCCTTAATGTTTGAATCTACCATATCATGTTTCATTCTTATAATTTTAAAAAGTGACTTATAATCAGTGCCCAAACATGTATGTTTCTTGTAACTACATAAGTGTGACCTGATTTTGCTTATTTTAAATTTTACTGTGTTAAGTTCAACATCAAAAGGCAGCCTAGAAAAGTGGTGGTTAGACCCAGCTCTTTCACACTGCTCATTTCCAGTTTCACATGCTCTGTAAGGGCAAAGCACAATATGCATCACTTGTTTAAGGGTATGTGAAATTTGAACTGGATGGGAGATTTAATAGATGCACAAACAGTCATGGTACTTGAATTCATGGGAAATAGTTAGCCACACACAGCCCCTGCAGTAACTGGAGTTCACACGGTAACACACAAAGCTTTGCCTACTTCTCATAAATTGTCAATCCTAATACACATGTATAGATATATCCTTGTCATTAACAAGAGGGGAAGGCGGAGAGAGAGAAAGAGAAAGAACCATCAACCCCACCACACACAAATCCCTCCCTCCTTCCTCCACCACACACAATTTCCTCCAGGACATCATTTCTGATCCAAGAACAAGTACAATAAATTCTAGTCAAGTTTTTATAAATTGTCTAACTAAAAAGTTTAAAGTACGTACTTTTACAGTTAATCACAATACTTCTACGAAGATAATTTTTTTAACTTATGAGTTTTAAACCCATAGTTTTATAAACTTCACTTAGCAAGAATATTACCAAAAACTGAGGAATTTTTCAGCAAAAACAAGTCCAAGCATATAACATTTTTAGAGCAAAAGAGTCATGTTAGAGTCCTAACAAGGTGAACTCTAAGATCTCTTTTGACCTTTTAATCAATAAGACCCAAAGTTAATGTATCTGCCTCCCAGTAGTAGCAACCTAACCTGACTGATGTTGACTTACTCTACTATATTAGCTTTGCAACACAGAAGTAATCACCGAGTAATCTATCTCTGCAACCACCAGAAATAACCTTTAGCTACATAGTGCCTACAACAGAAAACTGAGAGCCAAGATTGACAGCTCCACCTTTATCTAAACGAGAGATTGTTGTTTAGAAATTTTCAATTAAATCCAGGCACTCTGAGAAATCAGGCGATGTCTTTTCTTCGAAAATTTTAAAATTTGAAAATAAGACATCAAAAGTATTCAGACTTGAACACTCAAACTTTAACAAGTCAAAATTTAAACAAAAATACCTGGATATAAATTTCAAAAATAATTTTGCCAACTTAGAAAATATAACACTTAGAAGAAAATAGTTCAAGAGATTCCTCACAGATCGTAGGAAACTCTGAATCTTTCTTTAGAAAGGCACCTACCTGTTTAAGACACCACTACTTCTATGCATTTCCAATACCTTAAAAAAAACTGAACTCAGTACAGTTTTCTACTTCAATCTCCGAAAAACAGGAGCCTCACAGTTTTATGAATTCATTTTCAAAAAGTTTCATCTGCCTAACGACTTATCTACAAATAAAACGGAATTCACTACACAGGTGCTAAATACCACTGCTTTTCTAAAACTTATTCTACACACAATAATTTCACTTTTCAAAGCACTTTTTGTAAGTCATAGTCTTTCTCTGGAATCTTAATACTTACATGAAATTTAGTGTACCAGAGAGCAGTGGAATGAAAAATACAAAATGATGATCTCAAAAGAATCATTTGCCCACAAAATGTTCCTTTCAAACACCCCCAAATAATATTATTAGCCTCACAGAACTACCCTGCTTTGACAGAAGAATGGCTTGGGGCAGTCTATTCACTCTAGAAGTTCATTAGTACCAGCTACTGGTAAAATCAAGTCTCCCAATATAATGGGGAGTGAAGTGTCACAAATCAAATGTCAGTTTCTCACACATAGGTTACTCTGCTAAACACAATAATGAAATCCGCTTACTTGTATATCTCGATGATGAAGAAGAACTTACCTAGATCAAACATTACTTTTGATACTTTCAGATGCACATGTCCATCCTCATCCACTGCCCTGCCATTAAGTTTTTTATATATCTCTTTCCTGATTTCTAAAGGATCACATATACATGTTTCTACACTTACTTTGAATTAAAGCAAAAGGGAAGACAGTAAAAGAGAGTCTTTTACCCAGGGACAAAACTCTGCCCAGCAATTACAGTGAGTGCACTTCCTTTTGTTTTCTCTGTACCAGGATTAGCAGTGAAATAGCTATGTGGCTCTTAATTAAAGCTGAACAGTTCTAAAGAACAATAAATTCAAAAGTGAATTTCTATTTTAATTACACCTAGGCAATACAGGCGGTAGAGGCATTTGCTTCCCACAAACTCCATTAACACAACAGAGCAAACAGCAATCACCCTAAACCCTGGAGAGAAAGACTTCTAAACATTTTAAAGGCAAAAGTGTTTAAGGTGGACCTTCTTGTTCCAGATCCAAGAAGGCGTTGTGATGGCCCCGCTAAGAAAGAGAAAAATAAGGATGGGAGTTTCTGATTAACGCTTCAGGAAAACGGGTCCAAAATCCTAACAGCAGAAATGGCGAATAATCAGGGAGCGACAATCCCGTTAAGTCAGAAAGAAGAAGAAAGCAAAGTGAGATGCTAGCAGAGCATCTTGGCCCTCACGGGATGTTAAAAACTAGATTTAAAAAGTTGGGGAAAGGAATTTCTGTGTGGCCCATGCCGGGAGCAGAAAGCAGCATGTGGCTGTTTGGGCCCCTCAGGTTGGACCAGGGGATGGAGACAGTCCGGGAGCTGGGCTGTTGGCGAGCAGTAGTAGGGGACAGGGCTGTCGCCGCTTACCCAGGTGCAACGTGAGGTTGATGGAGTTGGGGTACTGCACCCCGGCCAGCATGGTCTGGCTCTGCCACCAGGTGGTGTCGGCCTGGTTGTTGTAGTCGGTCAGGAAGGCAGCCCCGTGCTGCAGGTGGGGCTGCCCGGCGTCGCACAGGTGACAGGACTTGGTGACCCCGGTCACCCCGGTCTGCACACAGTACTCCTCAGGCGGAGTCCCACACGTGTTGGTGGCCACCACGGTCACGTTGAAGGCGGCGTTGACGAACTCAGGCATGCAGCGCTGCGGCCGCCCGCCCTCGTCCGCGCACTCGTCCATGGCTGCCCGGGCACAGCGCGCCGCGGCGGCCGCCAGCACGACCAGCACGGGCCACAGCCGCCCCCGGGGCCGCAGGGCCGGCGCGGCCCGCTGGCTGCCCCTCATCCCGCCGCCCGCGCGCTGGGCCACGGCGAAGCTAGGGCGCCGGCGCGTTCCTCTCGCCCAGCGGCGTCCCCCGGAGGCCGCTCCGCGGGCTGTGCCTGGGGGCCGGGGCCGGACTCTCGGGGCGGGCGCCGGTGGCGGCGGCTCGCGCCGGAGAGACTGGCGGGTGGGCGCCCCTAGCGAGAACCGCGCGGCTCACTAACCACTGCCCCGCGCCGCCTCCGCGCCTCCCTCACCCACCCTGGACGAAGCCCGCACTCGCCGCCGACCCCCGACTTCCTCGCGCGTGCTCGAGCGCGCGCTCCCGGGAGGAAGGAGGAGTGGGTGGGGTCGGCAGGGTGGGGTCCGGGCGAGAGAAAGCCCAACCCCAGCCTCCGCTCAGCAGCTCCCGCGGCCCCCGTAGCTGCTCCCCCACCCTCCGCGCCCCACGGACTGCGCGTCCGCCCCGGCGACTCGAGGCGGCGACG